CCCACTCCTCCCACTGCAGCCTTTGTTCTCCCCCCGCCCCCCCCACATCCCCCATGACACCACTTCACTCCAACATATGGACACTCATCATTTTATTGAAACACCTTTAAGTACAAAACAAAAAAGTTACATGAAACGGTGCCTCGTCGCGGCACGAGAACCTAAAAAGAAAATTAAAAAAGGAAATAAACGAGGGGACGAAGAGGGAGGAGGAGGAGGAGGTGTGTGTGGCCGGGTCGTCACCACTCGTCCCTGATGTTGTGTGGAGCTGCGGTGGTGCGTCTTTGAGAGAGCGAGCCTGCCCCCTGGTGTCGGAGGGGGGCGACGGTGTTACAGAGTCCCATGTTTGTCAGAGGTAATTCACGTGTTAGCTAAGAGGAGCCGGTGGGGCTGCGAGGGGGGAGAGAGAGAGCAACAGCAGCACATAGGAGGGGGGAGGAGGAGGAGGAGAGGGTTGGGGGTCGTTTAATGGCCTTCTAGGAGAGAAGGGGGGAGAGCTAGCAGCTTCTAGAAGCCGTGGACTTTGAGCTGCTCCTCCTTGGCCAGGTCAACCTACGAGAGAACAAAGGGATCGGTTAATGAAGACGACCTCACGCGTGATACAAACGGGAGCAGAGCTGCTGCGGCGACACCCACCTCCATGATGAACTGGCAGATATTCTTACGCTGGTCTCCCTGAAGCTGGATCACTTCACCATACTCTGGGTGCTCAATCACTGTCCCATTGCACGCAAATTTCTGTTGGGTCAAAAAACAGACGAGTTAAGAAGCAGAAGACGCAGAACAACAGATATATTCGGAGTTAAAGCGCTCCGGGGAATACCTTCTTGAAGGCCTTGACTAGCTTCTTCTTGTCATAGTCGGCGGCGATGCCCTGAACAGTGGTGAGGGTCTTCCTGCCGTTCCGCTGTTGGATTCTTATGTGGATGTAGTCCTCAGTCCCGGCTGGGAGGCGGTCATCACCCTTAGTTGCATCAGCAAAGGGGTCTGCAGGAGGAAGGGGGACAAAACACCGTAAACACAACTCACTTAAACCCGCTACTGCGAACACAAGACCGTAATGAGCTTTTCACGTCATTAAATCACTGTTCCGCTCTTCGCTTTAATCTCGTTTCACATCCCAAAATGTTCTGTGTTTAACTCCACTGCAGCACTCTGACTGTTCCTGCGTATTAAACGTGTTTTCATGAATAAATCGCCCCGTCCCGTCCGTGTTTATGCGACCTCCATCTTCCTCCTGTTGTCGTTAGAAAGGGGTCATATTTCAGACACACTGCGCATGCGCACGGGCTAAATATACAGCTTAACAGCTTATTAGCAGCGTTAGCTCCCCGATGCTAACCGGGCGGCGCGGCCTGGAAGTCAAAAAAAAACACAAAAATAAACAACAACAGCTGTCGTGACACTGTGAGTTCTGTTCATACTGCGCGAGCCACCGCTCAGAATCCGGTTTAACGGAGAGAATTTACCGTTAAACGTTTAGATCGCGTTAACAGGAAGATGTCGGTGTAATGGCGGCCGTTTTACTGTTAGCGGGCCTGCTACGTGAATAAAACCTACAGGCCCAGACTGTCCGTTTGAGACGACAGAAATTCACCCGAGAGCCACAGATTGGCGTTAAAGTGGTTACTTAGAAGGAGAGGCGTCGTTATAAATCGTCCAACTCTGGTTTAAAACCCACAAAACGTCGTCGTTAGGGGAGAAGCGACCGTTAGCCTCGCTAGCGGCGCCCTTCCCCCACCTCGTCTGCAGTTTCAGTTCGATTTAATGAAAAATAAAATTAATTAAAAACAACTCACCAAAAGATTGGAGGTTCTGGATACCGGACATACGATAAGATTTGCTTTCCTTTCGGATGATAACTTGGTTAGAGCTGTTCGTCGGCTGACTTTGACCCTTTTTTTGTGTCGTTTGAGGTTTTTTCGGCTGATTCACGGAGGCGGGAATCTCGCTCTGCTTCAACGGCTCTCACAAAATGGAGCTCCTCGAGCCTCGTACGGTTGGAAAACAAGCCTTTATAGCCCCGCCCCGAAAGTGTCGTCAGCGCGTGATGACGTGAGTCCCCCCGGCCGGCGGCGCCACGCCCTATTGTTGCTCAACTTTACTGGAAAGCTGACGTCATCGCGTAGACGCCTTAGAAAATGGCCAAAAAAACATTTCCGGAAGTAGTTTAATTGTTGTCTTCTTATATTTATTATTACTGTGTATTTATTTTTATTTATTGTTATGTTGTTTTTATTTCTTTCTTATGTACGGAAGCCTAAAGCATTCACTTAAAAAAATATTTTTTTGTTTGTATTTCGGAGTAAATATTTTTTGGTTTGTTTTTCTGAGTTATTATTTCTGTTTTTCAGACAAATTTTTTGGGATTTTCTGAGTTTTTTCTTTTTTCTGATTTTCAGACTAATTTTTGTTCTGAGTTTAGAGAGCATTTGAAACAATAAACGCATTCATTCCTTTATTGAGAGCTCGATTTAACGGAAACAAACATGACCGGCTTGTTTAGTTCAATCAAGTTTTACTTTGATCTGGGTTTAAGACACTGGGAGATAGTCCTGTCTTTAAGTCATATAGATGGTATTATTTTTTTTCATTGAAGGGGTGTGTCGACTCTACGCAAGGACACCTGAGGTAGATAGTTGAAGATGGGGCATGTATGTGCGGGCAGGAGTCACCATAGGTCCATGGAGTCACTGCAGGTTGGAGGTTCTCACAGGAGTTCAAAGTATCTCCATAATTCAGAAAAAAAATACTCTGAAAACAGAAAAAAATAAGTCAGAAAAACAGAAAAGTTTTTTCAAAAAAACAAACCAAAAAATAAATTACTCAGAAACACCGGACTTTTTGTTTTTGTTTTCAAGTGAATGCAATAGGCTTCCGTATCACTAACACAATACTTCACATTACAGTTATACACAGGCTTATCGTATTACACTTTATTATATTTGATTGTATTTTATCTTTGCACTACATTCCCCTGTGCTGCTCTGCCACATTTAGTGGATCAATAAAGCAACATCTCCTCTTATCTTACCGTTATTTTGTTTTCTTAAAGGAATTATAACTTTATGAATTAATATAACATTATATAGACTTCAATGATGCCACACTAAGTAGAAGCTGTTATAGAAACAGAAAATAAGAGTTATATGTACACTATATACACTTTTTATAGATATATACACAGGTATGTTTGATGGAGCATTTATATATATATATAGTTAAATAAATATATAAAATATTGTCTTGAAGGATTATGGATGAAATTACAGGGTAGTTCCATAGTGTAAAAATAAATCTAACTTTAAAGGGTATGTATGTGACAGTGATTTTAAAAATAAAATGTACATATATATGTATAGGAATAAATAGGATAAGTCTCTTTATCCTGATATTTATAGTCTATATTTCCTTTATATGTCTGTTGTATAATTTTGTCCTGAAAAACAAAATTAAAGTAAAAACAGATTGACATTCACGAGATCTACCTTTTTAACCTGCTTTTAATAGATTTTTACTTATTTGATCTGTGTTTTCATTAATATTCTAGTATTTTAATATCTATTTATTACTTTAATACATTTAACTCCCTTATTATTTTCTCATTCTTAGTTTTCATCTTTTCCTTAAAAATCTAAAAATCAAGACACTGGACGCAACAAAAATACTTTTTTTACTAAAAGAATAAATTTTATTTCAGCACTGTAAGTCATTTCCCAACCAGTACAAACATGACTGCCATCTTTTGTCTCTTTCTGAACCATTCCTCCCCTCCCTCTGTGAGATCAGACCACCAACAGCCAGACAAATTAAAAATAAAAAGAAATAAAATAAAAAAATAACAAAGCTTTCTTTTTCTCATCTTTCCACAAACAGTCTGGTGCTTCCATAATGCTAACAATGATGACAAATTATACCAACCATAATTATAACAGCAATAATGATGATAATATCTCTATAACAATAATATTATGGATAAATTTGAACCCTTTTTTTGCTGCACAGGTACTTTTGGGTCTGGAAGTACATGCATTGGTACACTTGTGGCTGATTGACCAAACGTGACAAGAAATGGCCCACAAAGAGCGTCATGAGCCCCCCTTTTACTGGGAACTCAACCATGGGGGGAGGCTGGGGGATTATACTGGAGCTTGTGGGGGGGTTTCTGAGGGGGGGAGTGGCAGTGTAGAGAGAGACAGACAGAATAGGGACCTTTATTCAAACTGGACAAAATGCTGTGAGAATCCTGCAAATAGATCAGAACAGGTACAACACAACGGATGATTCCTTTCCACATTTCTGTATGACAGACAATAACACTGTTGAACGTCTACAAACACTACATAGTACACTTCTATTCTGGGACTTTGGGTTCTCTTTACATTGTCGAGCTCTTCAGAGACGCTCCCATTTGCGTAGGCAGTGCGGCGGATATCGATTCGGAGGTCACGGAGACGGTGAACTTTCCTCCGTTAACACTTCAGCTGAGATGTTTGTTTTTGTTGCTGTTATGCCTTCCCGTCACGTTACATAAGACACTTTATGGGTTGTATGTTTGTTAAGGAGACTGCAGTCTTTCAGGGCTGCAACGACTGTTCACATTTCTGATTAATCTGTACGATGTTTTCTATGATAACCAGTCCCTCCAGGATGCTGCGACGCTGTGATTTTACCAATAAAGTCAATCTCTGAATTATCCTCAATCATTGTGCTTCTTCGGCTCAAAATGTTTACACTCATAATCCAGAGCCTTCTTGGTGAGGTTACTTGGAACAATCCAACAAGTTGCCTTATATTGATTTTTAACTGATTATGCAGACGATTTTTGCAGTTTTCAGTTCAACCTGCAGTAAAACGCCTGAAAACACGACAACAGGCATTTAATTATTCTTTAGAAAAGCTGCTTTTAGGCATTTTAGGCAGAAACAATCTCCCCAAAAAGCCTGAGAAATCCTGAAGGGACTCATTAACAGTCGATAACAGGTCCATCACAATTTTCAGTATCGAGATAAACCGTTTGTTTCGAGTTCACAGTAAAAAGAAATCAGAGTTGCAACTGACAGATATTTAATCATTGATTAATCGTTTTGTCTAAAAAAAATAATGACAGAAATCTGAAGAAAATGCCTTCATAATTTCCTGAGTCTGAATATAAAAACCATTTCTGATTTATTTTGTTATCGTTGCAGCTCCAAAAGAAACGCAGCCAACTGAAAACCTGCAACTCGATCATGTTTCCTTCAATAAAAAAGGTTGCAGTCGCAGATGAACCCTCGTTTACAGACTAATCTCGTCACCATAAAGATCAATTGTTCCACGGGGAGGCCGGCTAATCTCAGATGTGCGCTTTGAGGAAAGTCCATCCGTTCTCTGCAGCCTCCACGCCAACACACGAAGAGACTCGGCGAAGCAACGAGTCGCTCTTTTCAATCCGAGTCCGGGAAGTTAAAGGCAAGTTTGAGAGAGCACAACAATCACATGGAAGTAAAATGCAAAGAAGAGGGCGCCAAAACCCCGACGCGACAGGAAGCGAATCCGTCGCTCTTTCCTGTGTATTTAGTGTAGATCTGAAGCGGGGCAGGGGGGGTT